GTGTGTGTGTGTGTGTGTGTGTGTGTGTGTGTGTGTGTGTGTGTGTGTAAAATTGGCGGCGCTAATGTTTGTGTCTCATTACTTTTGTTAGGAAAGTTAAATTGAAGCTCACTTCTTTTGAGATGATCTGTTTTATTTTGTTTAAACAAAGTGTGTGTGTGTGTGTGTATGTGCGCGCAAGTGTGTTTGTGTGGGGGTGTGGGGTGTGGAGGGTTTCAAGCAAACACAAATCCGATTAAAACTCAAAAATCTGACTTTAAATTCCAAATTATTTATTTTACATTTCTACGTTTGTGTGTCACATTTTTTAAACCCAATTTCAGATCGTGTTTCTTTTATTCTGAAGAAAAAAAGTTTGTTTTACCTCATAATCAAATTTAATAATTCATAAAATGTATCAATCACAATTTGTATATTTATATCTGTGTGTTCGGCTCTGAGAAAAACTTGAATTATATTATTTGTGGATTAATTAAACTCATTGATAAACTGGACCCATAACTAACTAAACCAGCCAGAAGATTTTAGTTCARATAAAGCATATTTTATGGTTATACTTTTATTTTATTTTATTTTTTTAAATAAATAAAGACTTTACGATGATTATAACTTAACTCAGTGTTTTTATATTTTAAAAAAAAAGCAAAAATGTTTTTATAAGCAAACCGCTTCACTGATTCTGCTGATTCAGAAAAATAAATTCCCTAAAAAATGGGGGGAAAAAAGCCACAAGTTAAGCAAACTTGTAATAATGTGTAGTAAGAGATGATTATAAAGCTCTTTAACACTGTGTGCTGATAAAGTCATCAGGTTCAAATTCAGCTGCAGTTTCTGACTCATGATCTCTGTAACATCTGTAACATCAGCCTTAATGACACACTTAAGTAGCTGCTTGGCAGCTTTATGACCTGACGACTACACACACACACACACACACACACACTAAGGTGCATGTGTGTGTGTGTGCCTTTTTTTAAACAAGCCTCAACAGCCTGGTGTGTGTTTTGTGTGCAGAAACTAAATTTACGTCTGTTTTTCTCTTCTATTTGCAGGCTAATTATTTGGGAATGACTTCACTTTTCCTGCTCAGACGTCAACATTAAGGTTGGTTAAACTTTTTTTATTCATTATGCTTCATTTTTAATCCATTATTATTATTTCCACTTTGAATACGTCACTCTGCAGGCGTTTAGTGCCGTTGTTTTCAAATCTGTCCTCTCTGGTTTTTGCATCGTTCGCTCCCCACTTCGAGGTGCTTACAGACAGGCGAGCAAAGTTCCCGCCAAAYGGCGACGCATCGCATCGAGCCCCTCTTTAACGTCCGAGTTTGTGCGGTGCTGCGCCGCAGGCCGAGGAGAGGAAACTAGTCGGGAAAACCGGGGAAAGAAAAGCTGTCAGCCTAAAGGTCAGATGAAGATTAGAGGGGAAACCGTACACGAGGGCACGCCGACTGGCACCCCGGAACTGCACAAAGACCTCATTGTCATGGCAGCTCTGCTCACACTCTGCCTGCAGACTTGCAGAGACGCGACACCTGTTGGTGGTTTTGGTGAACTGCACTCAGAGCTCAGATCTGAGCTTTTTTATCGCAGGGGTCACCGAAAACCAGCATCTAACTCCAGTTTTCATTCATTGTTTTATTCTTTACCTTTTTATTAAAGGTACTTATGTCATCCCAGTCCTGCAGGCACCTAAAACAGGAAGTTTTCAACTGGGGGGACGACTGAAAATAAAATGTCACAACAGAATTTCAGGAATTTTATTACAATGTTGTCATTTATCAGCCATTTGTAAAATATTCCAGTTTACATCAGATAATATAATGTGTGTCATAATTAGGTAAGCAATGAAGATAAAAACCAAGTTAAATAAGTTCATCTTGTTTATCTACAAGATGAGAACAACATAAACCACAACATTTTATTAAAACAGCTAAAAGAACAAAGTATTAAAAGACAAAAAAACAAGACCAAATGTATAAAAAACTGTTTAATATCAAACTACTTCGTTCACCTTTAACCTGTTCTTATACGGGGAGACTAGCTTTTTTATTTTATGGGGACAAAATTATTTTATAACTAATAATAAAATAATTTTCAAAAAATAAAAATAAAAAAGCATAAAAACCTTTAAATTGTATATAATTGACTATTTTCCTAATCTGGATCAGTACAGGGAAAAAAATGCATGAAAATTTTTATTTCTAGAGTTTATAACTTTTTTAATTTTTCTGTCCTTATTTAAAATTGACAAACATTTAAACAAGTTGCATGGAGAAAAAATGGCAGATGGTTGCATAATAGGAGGCATCCTGGGTGTAAATATACAACTTTAAAACATAAAGATTAAAACATTAAAATATAGAAGAACCATCTTGAAACATAAAACAGTAAAATGAGAAACATTCGTACCAAAAGAAGGACTTTATGTTAGACTTTGACTCAAAAATACACAAAGTATTTAGGGGAAAAATACTGTCGAGTGTTTGTCTTCATAACTGAGTAAAACGAATTAAAAAAACTTCAGTCCAATAAATTTATATAAAAAAATTTATGTTTAAGCACTAAAAAATAACTAAAAATTCAACAGAAAAATAGAAAATTTGAGTTTGCAAATGGATGAAACTACAAAACAGGAAATGTCAGAACCTTGGGAGGTGTTTTCCTCCCCAGGCCCCCCCTGTTGGTGGCCCCCCTGACTGAAAACAAATGTGATCAACTTTCAATAAGATTCAGTTTCAACAGTTCACTTATTAAAATGACCAAACTTTAATCAAAAACACAATTTTTAAGCTCAATAGTTTCAGATGGAACTATGTGGTTATTTTTTTTCTTTAAATCACGTTAACATAATCACCTTTACATAAAACAGTGTCTTTATAATTCACATAAGAAGGTATTTGTGGATTTTACTGAGCAGTAAGTCCTTATGGGTTGGTAAATATACATTTATTGACCCAAAATGTAAATAAAATAGGTGTTTTATGTCTGTTGGCTGTAATTTAGACAAAAATGTCTTTGTAAATCTTTTAATTATATATCGTTGTAGTTTTAGGAGCCAATATTAACTTTTAAATTACAACATAAGTTATTAAATGAAGTTTTAAGGATTTTACTGAGCACTGAGGACAAAATTTTAGCTTTTTTTAAAGTTTTAGCTGTTTTGGGCACCAGTATTAATGCATGTATTTCACAAAGGAGTCTGGTGGGTTCGGACATTAAGTGGCCCGTATGGAAACCCRTGTGGCATTTATTGGTTAACCGACCCGCAGTGAAACAGCCGTGAACTGCTGCGTGCCTGACTTTAGTGCAGTGACTCACCTTTTTTTATACATATATATAATTGGACCCCACCTCAGCTCCCTTTTGCTGGCCGACTGGAGGGGAAACCACAGCAGAGCCGCAGCCTCGCTCAGGAAACCACCACAGCCTGCTCGCGTGACCCTTTTCAGACGTATAAAACCTCACCAACGTTTCCTGGAGCGTCGGAGAACCGAGTCCAGATGAAGATAAACTAGATTCAGGGGKTTTAACTGACTCGTTAGGCGGCGGGAGTCACTTTCACACCTGCGGGGGCCGCCCTGTGCGACACGTGGGAGCTTCCACGTTAGCGTGCCTCTGGCGTCGGATAAACCTTTGGACCCTCCTGTTCGGTTTAAGACGAGGAAACCTGAGAGGAGACGCACTGATAGAACTGACACAGCACAGGGGAAGTGTCCCGGCAAAGTGACACACAGGAAGAAGTTTTGGCAGATTTTTTTTTTATTAAATTTGCTTTTTTGTAAAGCAGAAAGAATTGAAAACAATCAGGTTTTATTGTCACAAAATTACTCTATGGATGCAGTTTTATGCATCCTATTAAATGAGTTAAATTTAAAATGTCTGACTTCCTTTCTCTTTTAGCCTGTGTCAGTGTGTCTGTTAGTAAAGTATCACATGAAACACTGGACAGATTTTACTGAAACTCTGTTGGAGCCAATTAAAAATGGCCGCCCCAGCTAATCGACGTTAGCMGACATAAACGTGGTTACATCTGTCAGTTTTGCAGATGCTCTGGTAGTAGCTGAGAGTCATCCCAGACACACATTTTGAAGTCCTGTGAACAAAACCACTCATAAGATTTGTCTGAAACTCTGGTTTCAACGCTTGTTTTTTTTAGTTCCCGCAGGTCAAAGGTCGTATGTGCAGCAGATAAACTGTCCTTTGGGGTGAGGTAGTAGGTTGTATAGTTTTAGGGTCATTCCCAAGCTGTCAGATGACTATACAACTTACTGTCTTTCCTGAAGAGACAGTGAAGGCAACATCATCATCATCGGCTCCACTAAAAGAAGAAGTGACTCCATGTTTTTAGTTTTAATGTCTGGCAGTGAAATAATTAATGGGAATATAATTTTCTGCATGTTATCCAGTAAATAATCATCACCGTTTGTTGATAAATGACCGTTTGAAGATGTGCTTGAGACCCTACGTCTTCTGTGGTGACTCATGGTGTTCGTACAGGGTGAGGTAGTAGGTTGTGTGGTTTCAGGGTTGTGATTTTACCCCATCAGGAGCTAACTATACAACCTACTGCCTTCCCTGGAGGGCAGCAATACGTCACAGGAGCAAACGACCTCATTTTGCACAGGAGAAACCCGGACAGCTTCTTATAAAAACACTGACAAGTGGCTGGTTTTACTAAATGGGTAGGCTCTGCATTGTTGTTGTTGTTTTTTTAAATATTTTTTTTAGCAATTTTTTACTATAAAAATACAAGATAAGGATGTAATTGTGTCTATTTGTGTTTTTATTCTAAAAGAAAATAAAGACTGAAAATTTCAAACATTGGCAAAGCGTTTTGTTTTACTAAAGTTGACAAATACTCTGTTAATGGGATATTTTCTCCTTAAACTAATTCATTTAAAAAGACGGTTCAGACGGTTTAAGGAGGGTTTTGTGGGAAGGTTGTGAATAATGAATATCTTACCTGCTGTAGRTCTCTCTTTGGCTTCATCTTGAAGAAGCAAAGTTGTTTATTACAAAGGTTATTACAGCTTGTGGAATATTAACAGGAATATATTATTTCTGCTGGAATAATCATCCATATAGTCTTCCGCTTGTTTGAGTCGGGCTCCTGGACTCATCAGCAGATGAACCACCTCAACTTGTTCCTCTCAATATGGAGGATCAAGGGCTCTACTCTCCGAGCCCCTCCTKGCTAACTGAACTTCTATCTGCAATGGGTCCTCAGAAGACTAGGTGCATGAGGTTGAAACAAAACCACCATAAATGATTACAAATCCACAGGACACAGTGGAGGCCTCAGAGGAGTTACACTACCTTTAATTTGGGGGTTCTGAAGGAAGATGGAAGCTCAATGAACACTTGCCATGTTGCTGCAGGTGGCGCCAGACACTATTTATTGAGGTTGTCGATAGAGCACTTACAATTATTTAGCCATTTTAGACAGGAAGGTTCTGATAGAGGTGGAATAAATAACACGAGGAATCCTGTTTAGAATAAGAGGTAGTCTTTTTGTGGAAAAAAATGTATAAATGTCATAAGTTTCTGGTGTAGATAACTATCTCTATATTAAAGAAAAAGATGTAAAGCAGCAAAAATAAATAGTTGCTCCCTCAGCAGTGAAATAATTGCATTTAAATGAAATTTAACGGGCAGGAACCAATCAGAAGCGAGCGAATTTCCAATCCGCGCACGCTGATTGGTCAGAACTGTGGGTGTGTCGGGAGGTGTGCGTCACTCACGTCGTTCTACGTGACTTCCGGGTGGAGGACGGACGRAGGGAGAGAGGCGACGCGTCAAGGWCTTCGACGGAGCCGGTCACGATCAAAACCATCCCCTCCTCCTCCGGTACCGGACCGAACATCCATCCCGAACTCGTAAATGCTCCGAATGACAGCCTCTGAGGTAATTTAATAACTAATTTAAAAAAACCAATCCGCCATGTTGTCACGAGAGGGTTTAACTTTAGCTTTTAAAACTTTATTGTTCACGTACAAAGTTACACAGAAACTATATATTTTTTATTGTATGTTGATATTTAACATTCATTCAAATTTTAACCTGACTATGGATACATTTAGAGAAAATGTAACTTCTAGCTGTCATTGATGTTTAAAACTAACAAGATTCATGGTGAAAACAGTTAATTGTGTGCTCTGTTTTAGTTTTTAATACATGTTATTCTCAATCTGTGCTTCTCTGGGTGACCTTAAAGCCCAGTAGTTGTTTTGATTGTTGTGTCATCTGCTAGCATGCCCTATTTGCAGCCTCTGTTTCCACTTCTCCTGTGACCTAAAGATAGAAGCACACGGGCTGGAATTGTGGTTCCTCTGGGAATTTAAACACAATGTCTTCTGAGATGATCGGGAAGCGTGGGCTGGGCCAGAGTCATCCGTGGAAGGGAAAACAAAAAGCCACCTGAGACCCTGCTGATGACCTGGTTAATAACATTTCAATAACAGGGGTTGTTTCATCACCTCCACTTATTCTTTTGAGACTAAGATGGCCAAAAACAGCTAATCACCATCAGCCAACACAAAAATGGCAATAACTCTGGTAATTTTGCAGATGTGGAGCTGAAATTTGGCGTGGTAATAGCTAAGCATCGTCTCCAAATCATACTTTGAGCACCAACAGATCAGATGTAACATCATTTATAAGAGTTGATTACTTTGCAGCTTTTTAAATATCTTCGGCAGCATGGCAGACACATGCTGTCAGTTGGGAGTTGTTGCTCTGTGTTTTATCAGAGACGAAGCACACGTTGGATTTYCCTCCTCTCCCCCTTAATGCAATTTTCACAGTCCATCAGGACTTCTCCCCTGAAAGACTGCAACGTTAGATAAACAAGAAGGACGAGTACGCTTTGATCCGTCACGCCGTCCACGTCTGACCACGCAGGTTGACAAGAGTTCATATTTGCTGTCTGACCAGATAAAGACAAGATTTCACGTGATTGTCAGTTTTAAAGGATTAGTTCAGCCAGTAGACTTTAAACAGGCTTGAAGAATGCAACGTTTAAGTTGCACAATCTCATGTTTTGTTTTGKTTTTTTTCCCATGCTGGCCYGAAGAGACGTGTGCAGCTGTGTAAACTGAGATCAGAGCTGAGTTCTGGATATTCTGGAGATTTGTTTGGTTTTCTGCACAGATGAAGTTGTAACATAATGCAGCATAAACAAASCAGTGTTGTTTTAACAGTGCAGTGATTACATTATTGAATCGACGATGCACATCCAAAAGAAAACTCTTTGCAAAACTTTAAAGAAATTGTTTAAAAGACGACAACTTTAACGTCTGTTGTGCGAAAGTGTTTTTCCTTGTGACTTTTTCCAAATTTTGAATAAAGATTTACTTCAGTCCTAAAAGAAAGGTTGTGTTTCCTCACTAAAAACTTTACTGGGTGTCCATTTCATCAGTCAATAAATCACAAAAACAGATCTTTAAACCTTTGGATATTTTATCTGGACAAGCTGAAGTTTATCTGCTGTCAACTTTTTWAACTTGTGGGTCTGATGAAACGATGAGAATGATTACATTTCTTGCCAAATTGCAGCGCTGAATTCCACAAAAAAAAAAACTAAATTATTGTTAAAGCTAAAAGAAGCGGCAGAAACAAAATGGAACGTTCAAGTCAAAAGGATGACAGTAGGTGAAAGGTGGCTGTCCTCTTTAAACTTAGGTCATGTGAGAAAACTAACCTGTCTTGACCTGTGGAGTGGTCTAAGTGCAAACTTTATTTTAGAGGAGGGGAGGTAGAAACAATCACCTGATGCTGCAGGTTGGTAGCTACCAAAAGCTAGGATTTAAAGAGCTAGTATAGCAAGAAGGCATGCTGGTTCTTCATTGTCAGAAAAGTCATGATTTAAAGACACTGCCCTCTTTCCACAGGCTGGTGAGTAAGGGGGGTTGTTTCCAAACGTTTGGACGCCCCCTGGTTTCCAYCATGGCGGCGGATCTCTACAGTCCGCCGTCACCGCTGGGGCATTCCCTCCTGGGCAGTCCGCTCTGTGGAGACCTGATAGAGGATCTGCCCGACATCTCTCAGTCCATAGGGGACGACTCGCTGGGGTTTGACTTCCCGGAGTACCAGAGCCCTGATTCTGGGTCCAGAAGCTCCATCACGTTAGGTGAGAACAGGCACTTCTTCTTCTACATCACAGGGATGGGTTTAGTACAGCATTCTGTTCTGTAGACCAAAACTGTGACTAATAATAATAGTTTAAATAGCAATTACCATATTTATTCAAGTATAATACGTAACATTTAATCCATAAAATCATCCATGATGTTGGGGGGTAGTATTATACTCAGATAAATATTTTTACTTACGTATTTTAACTGAGATATCTGCAAAATTATTGAGTCCGGAAATGAGACCRCGTTTTAAAAAGGAGTTGAAGCAAGCTTACCTCTGACACTCCTCCGTTCTTCAGAGCGAGATAGTAACAGATCCAGGCAGGCGACGGGGGGATTAGCCTGCACCTTAGTAATGATAATGAACTAATGACATTAGCTTGTGACCGGGCCGCTCCTCAAACAACAACAAACACATGTTCATCTGTAATG